CACTAAATCCATCTGTTTCCACTACATTCATGTCTATACTCTGTACCAAACCTCTTGTCATATCTATTACATATCTAAGTCGTATTTAAACTATACATGGCTCTCTAGTGCTAGAATCTTGCATATCTGAGATACCTAAGATGCTAAAAAGGTGCTTCATACTTGGAGAATTTATAATAGATTTTTTATACTAGCTACAATTGATATACTAATTTTAATTTACTTGTATCTAACTTATCTCATCTAATCTTACACTAATATTTGCAATTGGCATTCTAATTGTATTTTTTCTGTCATAACACAACACATAAGTCATTTTGGTAACTCACACAATTGTGGATTCATCCCAAGAATGACTCTATTATCCAAAAGATGCTTTAAGTCTAGTAATTATTTACACAAATCGTAAAAACTTCAAGTATTTTGTGTCAAGACATGTTCTAAATTGATGCCAAGCTCATCAAAATAAGTCTTTATTAAGATTTGAATTTAACATTACATATCGACTAAAAAAAATAATAAGATTTTTTAAATTCCGTTTTTAGATATTTTTATCTTTTATCAAAAGAAAGATATGTAGATTTTGATTAACAAAAAAAATTCTCTTGAAGTTTGAGCAATTTCACCTTTGAGCAATAAAATCAACACTAACTATTGATTCAACTTTTCTTAAGCAAGTTCAATCAAGTATGTCCTATGATCTTCTTATTTGTAATATTAAGAATAATTCTTTTATATCTCATGATACTTCTGAGTTTGAATTCAAGAATAATTTATTCTATATTAAAGAATGCTTATATATTCTAGAAGATGAAGCATGATTACAAGCTTATCACTCTTCTCACAACTTTTTAGCTACACAATACTAGATATAATAAAACTTTGGAATTAATCTCAAGAAGTTTTTAGTAGCCTCAAATATAAAAGGCAATCAAAGGCTTTGTACAATCATGTGATGATTTTTTAAGATCAAAAACTCTTTGTCATTGATTTTACAAACTTTTACAACCACTACCTATACTAAAATAATTCTAGTCTTTTATTTCTATTGATTTTATCACAAATCTTCCAACCTCAAGTTCACATGTCTCTACATTAATTATAGTAAATTATTTCACTAATATGGTACATTTTGTACTATGTATAAAATCTATCATAAGTAAAGTTTTTTTTTTTTTTAATAATATCTATTGCTATCATAAGTTGTCAAAGGATACTGTATCCAATAGAAGAATCTAATTTATATCAAGATTTTGATAAATCATTTTTAAGATATTAAAAATAGATATAAAATTAACTTTGATTTTTCATCTTCAAATTGATAGACAAACAAAATAAGAAAATCAAGTTTGAGAGCAATATTTATAATGTACTATGACTTTTCTTTTCTTTTTTTTATCTTTTTTTGAAAAACATCTCTCTTTTTTATTTCTATTCATCAATTTTTTTCCTTAATAATATTATATTTATTTATTTATTTTGAATATTAAGATCAATACCACATGAAGTTAAATAAAATTAGTTAATTATCTCTAATAATATGTTAAAATCAAAGAAATGATCTACGTATAATATCATTTTTTATCTTATAATATTTATTGTAATATTTATAATTGAGGTTTTTTTTTTTTTACTGAAATATAGAACATCAATTGAAAACCCTTATTGAGCATATAATATTTTAAGAATAAAAGAATAAATTATTTTTAATAAAATAATTGTAATATGGAATTGATTTATTTTGTACTTAAATTTAAAACTTTAATTTTTACAAACCAAACCATTAAATATAACAGAAGGTATAAATACTTTATGTAGTAGAAAAATGTCTTAACAAAACAACTAATTTATTCTCATTGCAAAGATCATGCAATAATAATAGAAAATTTAAGAATTACTTTTTTTATATTAATGTTGCTACTAAGTTGCAACAGTAAAATACTTCACATCAGATTCTCTTTTAATTTATTATTATTTATAAAAAAAATCTCTTCATTTATATTGATAGATATTTGAATTTTTTTAATTTTATATATATATAAATATTCATTCAATGTAATATTATTTTTATATGATATATTTATGTATATTTAAATTTATTTTTTATAAAATACTTTTAGATAATGACATATCAAACATTATATGAAGTATTTTGATTACAATGATGTTCTTAGAAAAAATATATTATTCTAATTCTTTTTATATAAATATATTTACATATGTATATATATATATATATATATATATATTAGTAATTTTTAAAATTCATCATTTCTTCTCTAAATTGAATTTTTCACATAAATATATTATCCGTCAATATTATTAATATAATTTAGATACATATTTTTATATAAATATAATATATTCATCTTTATTTATTTTTAATTTTAAATATATAGATTATAAAGATGTTGAATTAAATTTATGTTATCTTTTTTATTCAATTATCAAAGATATATAATGCAATGTATTGTTGAAGCAATTTTTTACGTATTATATATATTTACTATCTTTATGTATTTAAAAATAAACTCAATTAAAAACTAATGAATTTATTATTTTTAATAAAATAAATAATAAATATATAAGAAAAAAATTCAAAAATTCAAAATAAAATTTTAAAATTTTAAAATTTTGATAATTTAATAATTAATTAATTCTATTTTTCTTATAAATTTTTAGAATTTAATAAATATTTTAATTAAATTTTTATTCTATAGATCTACAAATGTTTATAAATCTATATAAAGTATTATCTTCAATAATTAATCTCTAAAATTAATAATCTTGAGTAATCAATTAAAAAAATTGAATCAATTTGATTTTGTGGTATATAATTAATATTCTTTGTTTTCTAATATTTAATAATTTTTTAATTGATTTTTATTAATTAACAAAGGTAATTAATAGAGACTATGTAATTAATAAGGTTATATAATCATGTATGATTGAGTGAAGCAAGGCCATGCAACCAACATGACTATTTGGCTGGATGTGATTGGATAAAGTAAGACAAAGCCATCAAGATGATAGGACCACATTGTTGCCAAGGTAGTATCATAAACATATATATTTACCTAGATTAAAAGAATTACATAGAAGTAAGTAGAGGTAAATAAATTTGATAATATCTTGTGGATAAGCTTCTAAGAAGCTTCACAGACGCAGTTAGATTTTATCTGTGTTTGTAGGTGATTGATAGGTTGAAACATTGGCCAACAAGTTGCCCACATGTTGTATATGTTGGAAACTTATAGTAGAAGTTTGTTATGTGGTGTACATGTGAAACTTGTCTTATAAGTTGAACACATGTCTTATAAGTTGGACACATATTAGAGGTCCTATAGAACGTTGCCACATAATTCTTAGTTAGATAGTATATATGGAGGCAAGAATGAAGTCTTTTTTATTCTTATTAATGCTTTTCTTGTTTCTAGTCTTCTTTCAAGAGAATCTATCTTTGAGTAATTATCTACTCTTTTTGAGTAACCCGAGAATGTATTGGCCTTTGGTTCTTTGAAACTTATGCCTTTGACATGTAAATATAAGTAGATTGAATTTTACAGCCTAGGCAAAAACAAATTCTATCATGCTTTTAACCTACAACTAATGATTAGTAACCTTTCATTATTAATGTTTTTTTCTAAAATGCACAATATTAATTAATAGACAAGGAAGGAAGACATTCTACTTATAAAGAAAAAAAAATATTAAATTTTATAATTAATAAAAATTAAATTTAAAACATAAATTATAAATAATTGTTATTATTTTATAATGTACTAAAAAAAACTTTAATTTTTGTATTTTCATATTTTTTTTTCTTTTTATACAAAGTCCTTAACATACAAAATTTGATTCTTATAACTTATATTTGAATTAGTACCACTATGTATTGTAATATTATTCATAGTAGTGTATTCTTTATTATCACATTTATAAATAAAATATTCTAAAGAAATATTCTAAATTATTTCATATTTAATATTTTTTTTGTTCCATAAATTAACTTGTAATCCTTGAGGATTTCAAAAGAGTTCTTTTACTATGGCAATAAAATGTTTAACTTTCATTTATATAAATGTGATATAGGGCTACATCTTAACTTTTTCATTATTGTACCTAAGATATTTTTATGAGACCTAATTAAAGTAAAAGAAAGAAGAAATAAATCATTTATAAGAGAATATTACTTATAAATAAAAATATTTTCTTACTTTTGTTTATAGTGTAGCATTTGTAGAATATTGCTGATGCTACTATTATTTTTGCTATTGCCACCACAATGTACTGCCCACTTGATGAAATTCTTTCGTTTTTTTATTCTAAATAAATAAAATAAATAAATAAATATTAATATTATCAATATGTTTTCTCCTTTTAAAAATTATACAGAAAATAAATTTAATTTTAATAAAAAAATAATTAAGAAATTAATAAGAATGAGTTGTGATGGCACTAGCAGCATCCTATTTAAAAGCAACTAAATATCTTAGATGGCTCATAAAAACCTTATATGATTTCAAAGAATTTATCCAATATCATTACAAACTGTTATGATTGTCAGAGACCATAAGTGGATGACATATGTGAAGGTTGGTACAATCACTGAATTGAACTATGTTTACACTCTAAAATCAAATCTTATGATGCATATTTTCTATTTGCAACACCCACAATTGAAAATCCATAAGCAACCCATGCAAGGGCCACACAACATAGATGCTTTGTAATGAAACTCTGACTCTACTCATGTCAAAAAAATAAATAAATAAATAACAAACAAACAAACAAACAAACAAGCAAGCAAGGTCAAACAAGAAAGGTCAAAAGATTGCTTTGAGACAACCTATTTCCTCCCCTAACCATATATATATATATATATATATCCTTCGAAAAATTCATTCTTAGATACATTCTTCTCCTGTAATGCCCGCTCTTGTATTGAATCTTGCTAAAAGTTTCTCTTAAACAATCAGCTGGAGGAATCATTCCAATTGTGGACAACATGCCAACAAAGGTTTGTCTATTGAGCACAACAATAATAGACCAGATTGGTAGCACAACAAAAATCTGTTCCCGTGATCACGTAATGCTTACTTCCGCAACACACTGCACATCTAAGCACACCGGTACAATGTACAAATGCATGCGTAGGGAAGTCACAAAGTGCATAATACTCCTGCTCTGACTGGCTCCTGCGTATAACAGTAAATTGAAATGCCCAAACAAATGAGCATACCTTATAATACATGTTCCAATCCGTCCTACATGTGAAGAGATGACTACTCCTATCTGCGGCTACCAACTTCATTAACTTGTCGGACACCAGTCCCGTGTCTTCCGTGCACAATTCAGCACGGTGAACCATAACCCTCTGAAACTTCTCGCGGTGTACAACGCCAGGGAGTCGAGTCTCAACTCGGTACATGACCAATTAGTCTCCAAAACTGCCGGATCAGTGTGCTGGCACCCACTGACTACAATGCACTGTACAAATCTTTTTATGTCCCGATATCACACTCCGAGAACGCCACCGGTTTCATGGGATCCTACCTCATCTCCTCTAAATATCCACTTCTCCTACATCACACCAGCCCGCTTCGTACCACACTCTGAACAAAACTTCGATGTCTCCCGCACGTACGCCGACCCGCACTCGTCGCAATACTTGGAAGGACCTGTCGGCTGATGCTGAACCATGGCAAATGTATCAGGACGTAGCTTCCGCAACCGTCATCACACTATCCACCTCCTCTTCCTCATCCTAACAGAGCTGTCAACCAACTACGGCATGGAACACAATACCAAACCATCCAGCTCACTCGGTAATGACGAAAACAGAACACGAAACACATCCTTAACATTGGTTCCACTCCGTCGCAATCGTGAACGCTCCAAACCCACCTGAACGACTGCTACGTGCATTCCTGATGCATCCATATCACGTGCCACATGCGGAGGCGTATGCCCCGTCGGCTGTGAATGCTGTTGGTACTGAACATGTGCAGAGTGTTGATGCTGCTGATGATGATGCAGCTGATGTTGGTGCTGAAGCTGTTCAAATGCCCACAGTCACACCTGCTCAGTATCATGCTCTTCACCTTCTGAACAAACCAACCACAGCACTTCACTACCACCCACGCCCACTCATTCCCAGCGTGCTTCCACGTCACTCAACGTTGCTACATCACCAACCACGCCACGCCACGCCACGCTACTGCTGTTTCACCTTCCAGACTGCCCCGCAAAGACTCCTCCATCAATCACGAATGCAAATACCGCACGCATCCATCACACCCCAACTCCAACCCGTCATCCTTAGTCCTACCACTCACCACGTGCGCCGGTAAGCCCCCAGGATCCCTACCCGGATAACCCTGACACTCCATCCCATGGCTTTCGAATCCCTGCCACAACATCACACAACCTTCACCAACAACTCCAATTCTACCCCGCCCACTTTTCCTCCAACATTCATTCTATATGCTCATCAACTCCGCTCCAAACACCTTCAAAACCACATCCCATGTCCTTCTCGCAACTCCCATTATCCACCCTCACACTGCCGCATCAATACTACCTGCCTCAGGGTCAGTTGGCTGCTGTTACCTGCTGACGCAGGATGGGAGGCGACAAACTCGTCGCAGCCTCACTACCTGCATAAGGCTGCACGACACATCCACCACCGACTCTGTGTAAGGATACAACACTCTCCCTCCAAAACAAAAAAAACCATGCACACACTCCTCCATCCCAACAACACCTACCACATCCGTCATACCTCGCACATCCTGGCATCGCTTGCAACAAAACACTACCCTACAACACATTGCACAGGCCTCTCAGACTCGCATCAACCCCAACTACCTGTAGCATTACCATCGACGCCAAACTGTGTTGAGGGGCGCGACGGTGCTTCACCCTGGCTGCGAAAAACTTATAGTCCGACTCGTAAATCTGTGCTTCGTGTCTTCCGGTCAGTCTCTTGAACCTGCAGCCGTGCCACTTCCAAGCATTCAGTTCAATCTACTGGAACACAGACTCCTCATCACCGTGGACATGTGCACGTTCAACGACAGTTGTGATGCGTCGCACACAACGGACAGGAACCCCGAACGTGTACAGTCCAGGGCATCTCACACAGAAGTACGCTGTTGCATAAGTAACGCTCACCATTCCGCATCCTCTGGGGATAAGTTAGGTCTCTCCACCAACTCCAAGCCATGCACTACAACAAAACGCACGCGCTTCTCCTCGCCAGTAACTAGTTGAGGAAACTTTATGCGGGCTTCTAATGCGGATGCCACCTCACGCCTCTTAAAAGTCATCGTCGCTCCTACAACCATACCGAAGAAGACATCAGTAGCTTGCTCAGATTACTAGATCTTATTTAGAGTGGAATTCTGGACGTTAACTACCCACCCTGCAACGTCAAGTCCAAAAAGTCAAGGTTATCAACCAGCACACGAGCGACTGAGTTAGAGGCCTGGGGTGATGTCAACAAGTCTACGGCTAAGCAAACAGTAGAGTGGAAAATCATACCGACGGCACCATTTCCAACTCTACATGTATTTGGGGATGTAGGGAAGCAGTTCGATGCATGCATTGACTCCTCGGACTCTGTATCATACAGGGTCAAATTAGAGAAAAGGCATCAAATCAAGGAGGGATGATGCAGCTAGCGATTCGTGAATATAGAGCCACCTTCAAGCTATCAGGGTGCTACACTAAAGTATCCAACTATCCGCGTTTACGCGCCCCCTATGTCGGCGAGGAATATGAGTACGCTAACACGACCTCCGGATGTGGTTCTGATTTATAGTGCTGGCTCTGCACAAAAATGTTACATTCCTGAGGTTTCTATCGGCTCTTCGGAAGGCGATAAAAGACTCTAAGTGAGATCTAAGAGAACCTTGCGCTACCAAAACATTTTGCAAGTTGCTTGTCTCAAGCAACCGAAGAAACAGAAACCTTAGTGAGAAAGTGTTGACGGCCCACCCAGGTTCGGGTGAGGTGGTTTGGAATCAGGGAAGGAGCAGCGGCGACGGTTCAAATAGTAGAAATCCAAGCAATGTCTGCTAGTTATAGCGGATAATAGACATGATACAGGGCCTCTCCTTTAACTGCCAATAAATCTCAAGAATGTAGACGGGAAGAAAAAGTGCAAATGGTAAAGCAGTGGATTCGACGCTAAGCAAAAATTTACCGAGGATTCCAATGGTTGCCACCCAAAACGCCTTAGCTACGACGACTTAGAACTAGACTGGCAAAAAGCACCTTTAACATTCAACTAGAATTCTTATCCAACAAGATTCATGCATTCTCGCATATAAATTCAACAATTTTCCAAAATTTTGACTGAATGGGTCAGATGATCTAAGGCAAATTGATAAGAGAGCAGCAGCAAAATACATAAAGCGCATATAGCTGTGCGGCTGAGGGCATACCTGATTTGGGAAACTTCTTCACGAGTCTTCTGTATAGTCCACCAGCGGCTTCGAGAGCCACTCCAAAACTCTTCTCCTGAAGACCGTCAACGGTTGCCAATCGCTGGTTTATTTCCCGAATTAAAGTTTCGTACAGATTGGCAACAAAGGTCAAAGGCAACAAGTACCGAGGGTCTCCTTCGTATTGAACATCCCTCGATTTTCGCTTCTTTGACTTATCCTTTCCGTTCGGGCTGTAAGAGTTTCCTTCAGGTGCCTCCGCGGCCGGAATAACATGACACCTTATGAAGGAGTCAATAATCAGCTGCAAGAAGAAAGCTCTTGTTGATTCGATGGGAAGGACGTCTGCTCATAGGAACTAAACGTGTTAATGCATTGAATAGAGATACTAAACCCAAAATGTAATAAGCCACATGTTGCGTGAGCAATAAATGGAGAGTTGATTCATTTCATTGGATTAATATGTAATCTCGCTGTCAGAAGAATCGCTAACATAACTTACGATATAAAAGTCAAAATGAACAGTTTATTGCGCCTAACCTATCATTTCACATTTCAACTTATGCAATCCAAATTAGATTATGAGCATCATGCAGACTGAGACATGCAGCATTGCATAAGATGAGGACGAGACGAGAATACCATTCGATGTCAGCACACCATAAGGTGTACGAGATTCACCATTATCCATGGTGATGGAGTTATCATGATTATGCCCGTCCACTCTTTGCAGCGGAAGGTTTCCATAGTTCTGTGGTCCACAGTCCTGTAGTTCACCTTAACAATAAAATTACCGAATTCTGACTTCGTACTGCAGCAGCTCTTAGCGACTGAAAAATGCAGACAGTAAAGACACCAGTCTTATAGATGCATACACATGAGTGGTGTGCACCCTGCATGATTTTGATATCAACTCCGAAAATCTACGAAGATTTGAGAAGCAACGTACCCCGTTCGACGTAGAATCATCGTCGTTGTCCAGTTCATCACCAGTAGGTGCATCCCTGTCCGTGTCTGTTATCCCATCAATCTCAGGGTTCCTGGAATCAATCGTGTTCAGGTCGTGAAGCGCGTTCCCCACTGTAGTGTCCCCGTTCAAGTTATAGTGACCCTGAGGGCCCAACTTCATCTTTTCTAGGGTTTCTCGCCGTTAGCTACATAACAACGTCAAACACCAGTACTCGGTAGATGGATCTCCCGAATCATCACTCTACTCAGCATTGTGTTTCCCCACAGCTTTCCTCGTCAAACCAAACACGAAATCTGCTCGAGTTCATATTTCTCTGTGTCTCCAAGAGAGAATCGCAATTCAAAATCTCCGCCCCGAAGAATGCTGAAATTCAAACAGTCAGGAACCTAGCTTGGATGTTTAATCAACCTGGAAAAAACAGCCCAGAGCTGCTGCACTTACCGATATCGGCAGCCAATAGCGACAACGCAGGGCTACGTCCGCAGAATAATTTAGACGCGCAACGAGCGTGCAAGCGAGCGAGCGATGTCGCGCCTTACACTTCGAACCTGGTGAAAGACCATAACGAACTCGTCAACACCACACTCGTTTGGCAGTGTTCGGTAGATACCCGGTGAGAACCCAGTTCGACTGGGCATATCAGTTTCTCATCCGTTCCTCCCCCAGTCCTCATCTTGTGAGATGGATGTATATTGTATTGTAACCGTGGTGCTTCACAACCATGAGGCTTAAAGCACGGGATTTTTTCATGTTTGAATTTTGCTCAACAATATATATATTTTTTATGAAACAAATCACACCAGTTTACACAAGTGCAAATTTGGTCTCAGATCCTAGAAAAATGTGGATAATTTTTTTTCTCTCTTAGAAAAGTTCATATTTTGTGCAATAAAACAGATATATATATATATATATATGACATTTATGTATATTTATATATATATATCTATGACATTTAGTATATATATATATATATATATATAAATATACTAAATGTCATAGATGTGGTCAGTAATTTCAGAGATTTTTAAGAGACCACATCAATTTATTTTTGATGTAAATGGTAATTACTTGGTGTAGCCTACTCTTTCTCCAATTATATTAAGCAACAATAAACTATGGGTATATTGAAATATATTTTTTGTTTAAAAAAGAAGTCTTTACAATTGCATGTTTTGAAATCAACTTTTAAGACCACATTATTCTTTTTTTTTTTTCTTCAAGTTTTGTAACATAAAGAAATGTGGAACTTAAAAACTTGTAAACCTATGTTTCTCCAAGTTGAAATCTGAATGTTTAGGGAAAAGTATATATATATATATATATATAATAATACTGTACCAAGATAGAATATAGAAGAAAGTAGACTTTGATAAGTTTATTAACTGTACAAAAGTAAAATTAATTTAAATTACATTGAAAATGTGATTAATTTAAATGATCCAGCCTTTTAACTCATTTATAAGGAATGGAGATAGTTGGAGTTTTTATTTATACAGAAATAACTAATTTATTTATGCAAATGACTAATTCATGATAAAATGATAATTTAACCCTATCTAATGAACTTTTTATAAAACTAGGTTAAAAATTGATGCATATATTTTAAAATTTGAAGGTCTGAATTCTCTTTTTAAAATCGTCTTTTGATTAGAATTATTTTATAAATTATTTGTTTCTTTGAATGATAGCCTATGAAATTAACATGTATTTTAAAAAATTACTACATTAAATACTCTTCAAGTTGCACTTTAAAATAATGTCCATGCAAGGAAAATAGATTGGTTTTTTTTTATAATACATTTCTCAACAATAAACTCATTCAAATTTATATGTATACACACAAGTGGAAACCCATGCTATTGGACACTGCAATCTCTTTGGCACATCCATCTATTTTCTTGTTTATCCATGTTTCTTTGTTCCCATATTCCCTCTTTTTCAATTTCTCATGTTTCTATGTTCTCTAATTCCTATATTCCCTAGTTTCTTTATTATATGGTTCCTTAGTTCTCTTGCTCCCTAGTTTCCACGCTCTATGCACTTCCCACATTGTCTTCTTCAAGGGCAATCAAAAGGCTGCTTTGTCTCTTTGTGTTCTACCCAAGTTGTCTTATATAATAGATATAATGGAAAATATCTTCTTTGTCTTACTGAAGATTAAATTAGGGTTATTAATTTTTATTGATTATTTTCATTAAATAACTTATTATTCAATTTTATATTTATTTTTGTAATATTAAGTATATATTAATTGACAAATTAACATTGATAAATTATCATTGATCTTACTCTTTTTTTAAAAAAAAAAAATATTGTAAACAAAAATTTATTGAGATAATTAAAAGTTTTAACTTTTTATTTTATCAAAAACAATTCTCACATGTGCATGACAAATTTTAGTCCTAGTCTTTGCACAACATGTCTTAACTATGCATAAGTACTTTGAGCAAAATATTGTATTAATCTGTAGAAGATTTATTTAAAATATTTATAACAAAATTATTACTATTATTAAATCTCAAATTATATATATGTAAGAGTATATTTGATTCTATATAAAATATTGGGCACTACTTAATTTAAAGTTGGTTAAATTTTAAAATAAGCAGATATAAATTTTCACATATACAATGACTTTAAAAAAGATGGTATAAAAGTATATGATAACTTTTACTTTTCAGAAGGAAAAAAAGAAAAGAAACTATAACAAACATAATTATGTTAGTTTTTACAAAACAAATATATATTATTGTAGAATCAATAGTATCTGCATTATTACAATTTATGTCACATTATTTGCAAAGTTTAAATACATATATATTTTTAATCAATACACAAAAGTACTAAACTAAAATGGAATCAATTATGCATTTACAACCAACAAATGAATGATCATGTGCAAGTGTAGGATTGATTTAGAAGTTAAAAATATATTAATATGTATAGATTATTTTTATTGTAAAAAAAAAGTTATTTCAAATAAAACCTAAATTTAAATGTGAATGAATATGTAATGTTGGATTCGTTGATGTGTAGTGATTGGATTCGGTGGTTTTAATAAAGATTACATGTATTTTATTAAAATAATATATTTACACCAATATACCAACATATGTTTGAATAATTACATAGTCAAAATTTTCATGTCATCACAAATTATGCCTAACTATCAAAATATTTCGTACAACATTCTAAAATTTCTTACTCTTATTCTAAAAAAGAATATCAATTTGAAATTAGAATTATGAAAACACCCAAGTTCCATAATTATAAAATCATTGATGAATTACACATATTGAGTTTAATAAAAAATGAATTCCATATTTATTTTTGAATGAAATAACACTAAGTTTTTTGCACAATTACAATACCTTGAAAAGCTTAGTTCAAATGAAATTGTTATATTATGTATTACTAAAAATTGTTGTCATAAAAACATTTCAATGGAAATATATTTTTCCAAAAATCAATTACTTTAGAGTACATACTCCATTTTGTATGTCTAATTGTCTTGATATGAATCAATGCAGCATATGGCTGTTGAATGTGTAGGGGTCCCACACACCCACTGCTCCGATATGCACCCATCGCATCATCTGAGCACTGCCTTACAGACACCATGAACAATGTCCACCTCACTTGCATTACACCCACTAAAAATTATCCACTTAACTTACTTTGTAGCCACTACAAATTATCCACTTAACCTGCCTAGTGGACACTATCTGAAAAATATGAGCTTAACCAGCTGTACAGGCACAATGAAAAGCATGCACTTAATATTGAGTTTATTGAGAATAGCAGAATCGGCGTGACAAACCAACTAGCTCAAGTCAATCCATTTGTACAATTGAAGAAATGCACTTTGCAGATTCAATGTACTCGTAGCTACCAGATGCAAACGAAATGCCGCTCAAGGATTCCACTGTGTTCATGTTCCAATAGGAAATATCAGCATAGAACCCCGTGCCATTGCAGATCGCACGATGTGCTTGTTTCACAGCCTCCTTTCCAATGTTACCAGAGTCTCGGACATAAATTAATTACGGCTTTTTTCATTCCTCTATACATGATTTACCTCTCACGTCAAAAAGTTATGACTGTTAATTCAGCTGACGCACTGCGAGTGGGATGTACATACAAGATACAAAACCTGCACAGATGACTACCTTACTTCGAACTTGGTTCTGGTACTCGCATGCTGGTGTAACGGGAGATTTCTTGCGCAACGATCTCCCGCATCAGCCCCATGTCCAACCGTGAGCTCGACCTGCAATCTTTCTCCACAGCCAAGAAGCTCTCTGTGACTTGCTTTACCTGCCCTTGCAGCATTGGCACCACAATCTCAGCCACAGCAGCATGGATCGCTGACGAGAGGAGCTGCGATGTGGCGCTAGTATAGTTCAATGTAGCAAAATTGGCCTGCATTGTTGCTACCGTTGGTGCGACCGCGGCAAATCCATCCTCGCCGAACTCCACATAGTCTGGTCCCATCAAGGGACCTTTCGGGGAAATCGACGTTTCAGCCGGCCGCCCACTGGGTTGAGGTGGGCAACACCCGCGACCGCAATTGCTTGGGGCCTCAGGCATGCTCCAGTTCCAGAACGGAGGCATGAAGGACGAGACAGTGGTGGGGTTCAAAGCGCCACCGTCGCCATGCGAGGACAGAGAGACAGATGGAGAGCCAGGCTCTACAAAACTCATATTCGCCCCCACTTTCCTGTACCAGGAGAAAGCGCTCGGGCGAGGTACGGGCCGGATGGGTTTACCCTCCGGCGATTTGGCAGAAGCTGAAGCCGGCACATCATGCTGGCTATCTCGTTCCAACTGATTAGAACGGAGGTGCGATCTACCGTCCATGATGATCTCCCCGGCTACCGTCTTCTCCGAAGTATGTGGCGGCCACGAATGTGGGGTGTCAGAGGAAACTGCGAAATCATCACCGTCATAGTCGCGGCCTGAGTCGTCACCCATATCGTTGTCGTTGTCGCGGCCTGGAGGAGTGCGCTCCGTGTCGCTGCCGTCCTCTTTCCCCTTTTCCGACCCATCCGACGAGCCCTCCTTGCGACCCCGGTCGTCACCCATGTGCTTCCGCCGAAGCGTCGAGTTCCAATGATTTTTGATAGCGTTGTCTGTCCGGCCGGGCAACATCCGAGCTATGGATGCCCATTTGTTGCCGTGAATCGCATGCGCTGCCACTATTGCACGATCTTCCTCCTCTGTTATCAATTCAAAAATGAAATCAAACTCACATCTTTACACATACTAGCAAGTTTACCGTCATTTACACCGTATGCTCTGCAACGTTCTAGACATTGTACGATACAATTTCCAACACATCAGTGACACCATGTGAAGATTACTAAGGATTACCAACACTAAAGAATTCGACCTCAATACAATCTGGTGAGGGGTTGCAGAGGAAGAATGACATCGGGTATGATGAAAGGAGACCAGTAGCGACAACGAAAAGAAATTGCACCTGTGAAGGGTTTGCGCTTGACGCCAGGATTAAGCTGGTTGCACCAGCGCAGACGGCACGACTTCCCGGACCGGCCAGGGATGCCACGCGCAATCAGACTCCAGTTCCTCGCTCCGAATTTCTCCACGAGCCGGTTCAGCACAACGTCTTCCTCAGGCGACCACGGTCCCTTGATGCGGTCGTCGGTACCCGCCCCGCCTGCGGCTCCTTTCAGGCGCGTGCCACCACCGGAGACTTCCGGCGAGACATCCATGATCCCTTCACCACCTTTCTACCCCCTCAGCTGCACTCCTACCTTCTCATCCCCGTTGCTCTCGACCAACAATCACCCTCTCTGCCATCGCCACAACAGTCCCCCCTCTTTCAATACACCAGGCCGGCTTAAGAGCATTGCTCACCTCTTAACTAAACTCCATCAAAACCAGAAAATGACAAATCACTCTACCTTGGGATTGCTAAATCAGTCGTCTCGGGCAAGAAATGGTCACCCTCAAAACACGAAGTGCTGAAAAAACAGGGAATGCCAACAGCTTCAGGACAAAAATCACCCCAGCCGATCTTGACGACGTAATATGCATTCGTCCAACACGGGGCGAAGAACCTGCATCATTGACAGACCCTCCGACACCGATGACCTCCAAACACGAACACTCTTGGAAACCTCCAGGAGCACACGCCCGAAGCTCCAAAACCGAGAGTTGGGCCGGGCTATTGCGGGGAGGCGAAGCGGAAAGGTGACAATTTGAGAGGTGGGGAAGGCGAACAATGGCGATGGGGACGCAAAAAGAGTTCGCAAGGGGAAACCCGTTGCGAGACGGTGGGGGAGGAGAGGAGAAAGAGAGACAGAGAGAGAGGGCACTGCGCTGCACGAGTGTGACCAACCCGGGGGGGGGGGGGGGGGGGTAGCTGGTTGGGTTCCAGGCCCGGGATGGAAGGGGTCAGGGAGCCAGGACAGGTCTGGGTTTAAATTAAGCTAACCTCTCGCTCCCTCTCGTACTCTCTGTGTCGCTAGCGTTACGAAATTCTACTGCCTCTAGCACCGCTGAGTCATCTTATCTGTCGTTTTTTGTGTCTGTGGAGTCCTCCGTTGGGGATGCATCGATGTTGCCACCTGAAAGTCCAACCACCCCCTTGCGCGACGATCTCCACCTCGGCGACCAACACCCCTTCATCCATCGCAAACACGACGACGACGACGGGCCTTCGTCTCGGAAGCAGCGACGTCGCTGCGACCCGCACCCCCGCTATCGCCATCGCCTTTCTCGATCTTACCACGGCAATACCACTCAATCTTTCACTCCTCTCGCATAATCTAGCCAGAATCCTTTTCCGATTCTGGAATGGTCCAGGTTTTGAGGCATTGATCATGAAGTTGGGTGGAGGGAGCTTGGATTTTCTGAACACTCCATGCATTTTCATGAAACCCTAACCCTAAAAATTGCCATCACTCAAAGAAATGACGCGATTTTTTAAACTCTTTCTTGTCATACCTCCGCGCTTGAGCTTTAGTGTTTACCAAAAATAAATGAATAAAGAAAAACCCACAGAATGGCATTATTTTTGCACTGTTCCTGTTGCTTTTCACAAAACTCGATACAATAACAATTCAAACCGTAGTAATCGTAGCAATTGTATCAATATTTTACCACAAAGCCTTGTTTATTTAATCACTTTCACATGTTTCAAGTGCTTTCATCTTTTACTGATCGAAGAGACTTATCATGACTTATGCAATAATTTCTAAAACCATCTTTGAAGGCACCTTTAAGGTGGACTTTAAGCAAATATTTATATTGATACATCTTATAATAAAATTATTTTTTGAACTTTAAGTCACTATTGTATGTTGCAATGATTTCATTCCATTTTGATGATTTTCGCTCACAAGTTCATCCATCATTAGGACTAGAAGGATATTGCAAAGCGCAGTACACATTTCTATTGTTATTTAAAAAATTTATGCTATTTTCAATATTTTACATTCGAGAAAAAATATTAGATTTTATGATATGCTACAGCACGAAATGATGTCTCAACATTCAGATAATTGTTTCAAACCAGTGAACTGTTGGTGTAACTCTAACAACTATATTAAACTGTGTTATTCTAAATGAATGAATACTGATATGTAGCCTTACAGGATAGCAATGATTTTGCACAATTGAAACAAAAAAATAAAATAAAATAAACTTTAACAATTCTATAATAGTGAGATTTTACATTGATTATTTAAAATTTTATTTTTTTATGTGATAACTTAGGAATTATTATATTTTTATTTATAACATTTAAGAATTAATATCCAAAAATTATTTATTTTAAGTGAAAGGCAGAAAAAAACTTGGTGTAGAGTTAAAATTAATTTTTGAGATGATTTCATGAATAAGGTTCATTAAACTATTTTGGTAAAAGATATCAAAATATATTAAAAAGGAATATAAAATTGTTTGCAATATCAGAGAATATTTAATAAATAAAAAAAGATTATATGTATATATATATATATACATTCTATGTTTAATTTTAATATATTCTATAATTGTTATTAGTTGGAAAAAGTTTATTATTTTTAATGACATCTGTAATAAGATATTGATAAATTAAAGTAAAGTTATAAGTTGGTAGATAAATCAAATAAAAAATTGAAAAAAATAAACAAGTATTTTAGTTGGCTAAACAAATTTGTGCACTTTTATTGAAGCATTAATAAACTTAAACTTAAAACTGCAAAATATTTATCTTAATTCTATAAATACAAAGAATGAGTTTTTGTACTTAAATTTCTACAGTACAAAGAGAGGTACAATGGAGAATGTTTTTAATAAAAAGAATGTTCTAAATACTATAGAATAATCATATATATTATTTTTATAATTTATATTAAGGTAATAGATTGTTAAGTAGACTTTTACCATACAATTAACAATTATAAAAACACAACATATAGTAGACTTTTTTTAAAAAACAAACCTACAATAAATTAATATCTTCAAATAATGTTAATTTTTTTTAATATGGTTATATTTTATAGTTGTTTAAAATACGTACAATACCTCAGATCACACTACATGTATTTTTGTTTCATTTTAAGACATTAAATTGCTATAATTATTAACAAAGAAATTTTTATATTTATTCAATGACTTCTTGATTGCTAATAAACATTTGATTTGCAAGTCTCTTAGAGACTACTATTTATTATATATATAATATTTCTTCAAATTTTCTTTAGTAAAAAATATCAACATAATTATGTCTACTTTAAATTGCATTGTGCAACTATGGCTTAAAATAAGTAAAATAATAAAAATTGTATATTTTAAATTAATTGATTTACCTAAAATTATTATTATTATTCTAATCATACCTTTTTGCTATCAATCTAATCTTATATCTTATTTCACATATACTAAAATACTCGTTAATTAAATTAACTTTAGACACTTATTTAAAACAAATTGGTTCTTTTGCTTAGATAATAATATCATACTCTATGTTTAATTCTTATGAAGAGATTCTATTTCTCCATTCATTGTTGTCTACCAATACTAATTCTTATCTTGCATGGTTTCTTAAAATAAAAATAAATATATTCATAATTATAAATAATGATCATATTAAAATAAGAAAATTTATAAAAAAAAATTATACATTCTTTGATACTTTAGCAATTTTGGAAGTGGTTCATTATTAGTTTTATTGCTGAACTTTCAGATATAGTAGAGCAAAAAATCTATAAAATAAGTATGTAAGAATGCAAAGATTTATACTTCTATTTTAAAAATATTAAATATTTTCTATGATTGTGTTTTTTTCCCATACAAATTACTATCTTTTAGCATTAAGATTTCTTCATAATTTAGTTTATGGATTCAACTTCAATCTTTTATTCTCTATCACCATCTAAGGTCCTTTATGGTTTTGTTTTCTTCTTTTTTCTATTTTTTTATCCTTTGGCTTTTTCTATATATCCACAATCAATTAAATCTATTGTATTTAAAGAATTTTATTTTCCAGTGTTTTGAATATATAATGAATATTTTTCAACATTAATACAATTCTATCAATAAGTTTGCTTACAACTATTCTAGTTTATACAAATTTATATAATACAAAAATTCTTATTAATATTGTATTAATGTTATATAGATTTAAGGTAGATTTTATTTATTTATTTTATTTTTTTTATAAAGATATATAAGATAGAATGAATCATAATTAAAGATCCATGCATTCCAAAAATTATTACTTCCAAAATATAGATTACTAATATTTCTTATTTAAATTAATAATTTTTTATATTTATTTTATTTTATTTTTTATTTCAAAAATATTTCATTAATCTCTTTTGATTTTTTATTAATTAAAATAAATTATAGATTCAAAAATAGACTTTTATCTATTATTTGGTTTCTCACAATAGTGCTTTAGGATGTGAAGCTTCACTATTGAATCTCTTTCTCATCTTGTTAGATAAGAGAGTTATATTAACATCCTTTAGCTCTATTATATCTTTGTCATACAACAAAATAGTAATCAACTATAAAGCTTTATCTTCATCTTCTAAGATGATATTAATAATTTCTGATTTAGAAGAAATATTATCAAAAGAATTAAGACAATCTATCCAATTAATACACTCATTTATGCACAAACTATTGATTTTCTAATTTAGATTTAATAAGTTTACTAAAAACCTTCTTATGTATAAACTTTCCATTTTATTCTAGCTAGGTTGCTAAACTCATATTTTTAATACTATATAATACATCATTTGCAAGAAACAATCAAATTGTAGTAATTATTCTTATGCTAATCTCTCTCTATTCTTTGTCTCTATTGTCTATAAAATTATTTTCTAATAATTTGTGCAATCTTTGTTGCACAAAAAAATCTTCTTCTTTCTATTCTAATAATCTAAAAAAATAAAAAATTTATACTTCAAAATTTATTTTTAATTACTTAGTTAATTAATTATTTTTAAATCATCTAAACCAAATTCTAGTACTAAATGTTGAAAAATTAGACATATAGTTGCATATATATATAAACATACTCAAACAACATTATTAAGATCTTAGTATTACAATCTAACATGAAAATCAAACACTTCTATAATTTCTTCTTTTATTACATATTGCCTATAAACTGCACAAACTTTTAGATATATATTTTTAAACATATCAAATCATTTTAATATGGAATTTTTATTAATTAAACTAAGATTTTATAGATTTTTTTTGTTACCTTTGCATTTTATTTTATTTTATTTATGTAATATAGAAATAGTATAATGGGCTTTCTCTCAATTTAGACACATTTATATGGAAGTTTTAAATAAAAACAAGGTATCTTTCTTAATCTTTCTATGGTTAAGAAATATTGCTAAAATATCATTATAGTGCTTATAGAGCCAACTATAGAAGAAACTTCAATTTGCATAATGATTAACAATTTTTTTTTTTTTTTTTTTTTTTTTTTTGTGATTCTAATGTTGATAAAAACATTTACCTTGTAAATCACAAAATATTTATAGTATAGAATCTACATGCTTTTAAAGTTAGATTTAATATATTTTTTTCCAATACATGGATTAATTAATGATTAATTAATGATTAATTATGGTTAATTATAAAAGATGTCATACTATTTGAAAATGTGCACATGTAGCCCAAGTTAAATGCATAATAACCATTGATTTGAGTAATCTAATTATTGTATGTATATATATATATATATATATATATATAAAAATAAAACTACAATCAGATTTACTAGCTAATAAGAAATCTTTGATTTTGGGTGAGTGTCTATATATATATATATATATATATAAAACAACCAGAACTCTCACAAGATAAAGAAAAAATATATATCTATATATATATATATATATATATATTCTGTATCGTAATGGTTCTTCACCAAAGAATAAAGTCGAAAAGAGACTGCAATCTCTGCAGGAAGAGGCCTGCAACAGCATGTCCAGTAAATTTCCAGAGAGCAAGTTGCACCATAGAGTTTTATTTTATTTCATATATTTTAAAACGACTCACATAGTAATGATCCCGAACAATGCAACAGAACCCGCTACCAACAAGCTCCGAGCAGGAACAACTGGATATCCAGCTCTTCCGTTTCGTGGATTCAACTTTACTTGAGCCTGAATGATACGTCAATGTGTTGTAGACACACACAAGCAGAGTGATTCGCAGTTCATTCAAAGTCATGTCCAAGTCGACAGTACGCTACTGGAAGAAGAGATGGAGACCAAGGCTGGAGATGGTGAACCCACCCAGAGCATGCAGATTAGCACGGCGGATCAAGGAACGCTGCGCCAGTGGATATTAGTGAATGCAGCTCCTCACGGCGCAGGTCTACGAACCTGACTCACCTGGCTCTTTTCGACAATGTGATACTCTTGAATTAGTTGAGTGGCTCTCTGAACTTGGGATTATAACCACAATTGGGTTACAAAAGCAGTGTAAAGAATGGTGTTTGGAGCAGCAATGGAGTTTAGAACAGGCCCCAGATTCCACTGGGGTGGCGTCTACACTCTCCTTCTTCATTCTGGATACGAGATGTGCTGATCTAGATATCAAGCTGGTCCCCCCAGCATTGCCGCTGAAAGCCGACTTTTGCAAACCAGGTTGGAAGACAACCGGTGTCGATGCTGTAGAAGCTCATCACAACACTTTGTAAACCATCATTTTGTTCATTTCTTTTGCATCAGTAAAGATGCCCTTGTGTGCTTGGTTCTATCCAGCAAGGTGACTTGGTGAGGATTTCATGGTTGGGGTTTGATTTACCAATTCATTTATTTATTTATGATTATTATTTTTTTTTCTTCTAAGGATTGAAAATATATTGTGAAGGATTTAAAAAATAATATATTTTTTTATTTCCAAAATATTATTGCGGTACTGTAGTACCCCTTTTTAAAGAGGTTAATCAAGTGTAATTACTGATTCAAGTTTGTTTAATTAATTAGGCACTGATGATTGTTTCGTTTATAAAAATTAAAATAATCGACCAAAATTGTAACTATTTTATCAGTTCATGTGGAAATTGACAAGAATTAAATTTTAAGAGGAGTGATAAAAGAAAAACAATAGTATTTTTACACTAAGAATATTTCAAAACAGTCCTTAATTTATTGAAAGACCACAAATCAAACACTATTGATAAATAGAAGTTTTAGACTACTATTTAAGTACAACTTCCTAATAATTATTCATATTTTTATATTTTTCTGTTTTCTTAAATTAAAACAGAAAAATTAGCAATCATTTTCTAAAATTACTGGTTTTTATTTTAAAAATATATATATACTTTCAAATAATTATCTAAGTTTTACCAAGAATATATAAAAGAATTGATGAAGTAAACTTATTAATGGCTCCAAAACAGATGTTTGTATAATTTCAAAAAAAATACTAAACTATATTTACTATAAATATATATAACTAGAATTTTTATTATATCAAGTTATTATATATTAAAAATTAATTGTATTAAAGTTAATTACTTGCTGATTTTCAATATATATATATATATATATATATATATATTTCTATAACACCATGAAGATAAAATTATTTTAAAATAATATTTAAAGTTTAGTTATATTGGTAAATAAATAATATAATTCTTTAGAATAAAGACAGAATACTAAAGAATATAACATTTAATGTTGTTTATAATAAATTATGAATCAATTAAAATAATTGCAATTGGGAATAGTAGCATGACAAGATATATTAATAAGTATGTTAAAATAGGCATTATTTTCAAATACTAATAGAATAAAAAATATATATAATTATTTATAACTCTTCTATATTAGAGTATTAAGTAACTAAGAATACTAATTTTTAAAAATTAAACTTTGTCATAGAATAAGACAATAATATCCAAGTCTTTTAAACAAAGATAAACTTTTACTCTTATTATTGAGAATTTTTAAACCAAGAGTACTAAATAAAAATTCATAAACTCAAAATTCTGAATGAACACTAATTTTTATTTTACAAAATATAAACGACTAAAAAAATATGATTTTAATTAAAATAACTTAGATCATTAAAAAAAATATACTGCAATTCAAAAATAATGAATTGGTTGTACTGTTTTTTTAAAATAGAAAAAAGAAAATAAAGGAAGATTTAAAATTGCAATGAATTTTTAACTTTTCTATCATGAAATTAATGTTTTTAAAATTTTAAAATTTTAAGTTATTAATTAATTAATTAATTTATTTATTTTATCTTATTTAATTGTTGCATATATATAATTCATATAGCACATGAACTACCAAACTTTGCTGGTATAATTTATAATAAACATAGCACAATTATAAATTAATATGTAACTATAATATATTTATTTAATAATCTTGTCATTTAGAAACTTTTCTGTAACTTTTGTGTAAAACGTTATGGAGGTAACAACAAATATGTAATAGTAGAAAAAATGTGGCAATATATATATATATATATATATATATATATATATATTATTTACATAGAATTCATAAATATTAATTTTTTTAAATTATTCTTTAAAAAATAAAATATATAAAATTATATATATATATATATATATATATAATTGCTAAACCAATCCATCTATCATCATTGGTTACATATCCAAGCATTTTCTCATTGTTTTTCAACCAATACAAATCTAGCAATGGAGAATATTTTTGACAATAATTATTATAGGTGGGTTGATTTAGTAAATTCTTGGATCAATTTAACAATTATATATATATATATATATATATATATATATATATATATTCTTAATAAGTACAGCAAATTTTTAATAGATTATATATTATGTAATGGATATTTTTCTTATTAATATAGAATATTTTGTAAATTAAAATTTTAAAACCAACTATATATCTAAGAAGAAGAAGAAGAAGAAGATAATTTAATTTTTTTCTCTCTCTCTTTCTATATATATATATATATATATATATTTTTTATTTGTATTTTAAATAAATTTATAATATTAATGAAAAAATTAAATAAATCCTAATATATACATACTCACATACATATATATATATATATATATATATATATATATATATATAAGTATTAATCAATTTTTTTAAAAATAATAAATAGAATTTTATAGAGTAGAAACTTGAATCATTATGTTTATATAAATATAAATGCATATATATATTTGAAATATCGATAATTGAATGATCATAGTTTTTTTTTTTTAATATTATACATTTAATGCTTTTTCATAAAATATAATAATTAAAATTATTTGAATTCCTGTAATAAACATAAAAAATTTTACTTTTTTAATAAAATGATATATATATATATACATATATATATAATTTAGCATACATAATTGAATTTCAACTTTTAATTTTCATTGGTAATGTAAATAGTAATTTAAAAACTTTTATTAGATTGTAATGAATAAATTTCAATTGTTTACAATATTTAATATTTTATGACAATTCACTTATAAATAATATATGATTATTGAAGTATAAAATATTGATTTACCAAGTTTTTATTAGAATATTATTATATTCAATCTAATCATTAAAATGTTTAGATTTAATATATTTTAAAATTAAACATGTTTTGATTTAGTATTAATTTAAATTTGAATATGTAACTTTTAGTAAAAAAATTTCAATCCATTTATGAATTTTCGACTAGTAAATGTTTTTGGTTAGTACATATATTTATAGTTGTAATAATCTAATATAAATTTCTTTAGCAAAGATAAATGTAATGAACATCTTTAACATTTGTTTTGTGAAAGTGAGTGGGATGCTTATAAATATTTAATAAGTTCGTGTTCCAACCTTGTTGTAGAATATCCATCTTGTGCAATCCACACCAAAAAAAATTTCAGATCCTCAAGTCTAAGAAATAGAAACATAAAAAGATGACATCATCGAAAGTTGAGCCATATACAGCTTAATGAAAAAAGTTTCAAATTCAAGCCATTTTTCCCATGTCCACTAATATGCCAACAAATTTGTTGCAGTAGAAATGAACCAACAAGTCAATGACCAATGTGAGTTGGTTGGCGTGCATGCATATAATTATAATATATATCAAGTGATTTTGCCTTTCTCTCCCTTAATCTTTAACGTTATCGCAAAAAGTCCCGTCCAAAAGCGCCGCCATGTGACGTCCCAGCGGCGCCGCAGACCGACGCGTACCGCGACGCGTCACGAATGGACGTCGCGGCGTCACGAGTCGGCGGCGAGAAGATTCACGGCTCCTCGTAATCCTCCAATATCGACAGCAGCACAGAATTGAAACAATCTGCGCAGTTGGACATTATTGGCGTGCCACGCAGACGGAGTGGCGACATCTGTGGTGCCTGCGCCTTGCTCCTATTTCACCCCGAAACCCGAACCCGATTTTTCTCGTATTTTTTGGTATTGCAGCAGGAATATCCGTTGCGTCAGAGGCTGCGGCATCATCAAAGCCCCGTGCTACGCCTCGTCCTCATCCCCTTTCATCCATGATCACCGTCGCAGCTGTCCTTGAATTCTCACTTCCATCATTCGGACCACCACGTCGCGACACAGCCGCCACGACCGTCGTGTTCCCATGAGCCCAACTTCAGTGCTCCATTCGTAGCGAACCTCATCGCTTGCGCATGATCGGGTGCTGGCTTGACTCAGATAGCTTCATGAGGTCGCCACTTCACTCGGGTTCCTTCCTAATTCCTTTGTCAACAATTCCGCGATTGTCTCTGGGCTGGTTTGTGTTGGCAAGTTGCGTTGAGCGTGATTGATTTACGTGTAAAAGCTCGCAAGAGCTGCTCTCGTGCTTTGCTTGCTGGTTCGTAAGGATATTTTGTGAAAACGAGGGTTGGATTTCTGCCGAGTGCTGTTCCCCGTGAATGGGAATACGTTGCGTGAAAGGCGGATGAGTGTTGTATTTTCTTCTGAAATTTCGAGGATCGTTGGATGATCGGAGGTGTCAGAATTTGTGTGCATTTTGGGTGAGGCGATTTAATTAGGGCGTGGGAATGAGGAGGGCGGGGCTAGCATTGTGGCGGTCAAAAGCGGGTTTGGGGAGTCTGCAGGGGCAATTGTTGCTGCAGCAGCAGCAGAATCAAACGAGATCGTACGCGAGGTCGGTTGTGCTGACGGAGGAAGAGGGGCAGCAACGCGTTGTGGAGGCCTCTCTGACGCTGGTGCGGGAGCTTGCGCGCCTCAAGGCTGATCATGTGCGCAAGCGGGGAGGCTCCATTGCCACTAGCTGTATGCTCGGAGTCCCCTTGGGTCACAATTCATCGTTTCTCCAGGTGCTTGGTTATTGCTCGTGAACTTCCAATCCAATGTAAAATTCTATGGAGCAGCCAAGATGAGTTTCGTCTGCCTCTTCCGTCGAATTACAAACCATTGAGAGTCTCATCGGATGTGCACATGATTTCACGAGGGTTTTGTTTTTGGTTGGCGATTTCTGTGCCTGGATCTGCTTCATATGAGCTGTTGCAATTACGTTGTGGGTACCGAATTTCCGATGATATCCCATGCAGATGAAATGCAACTGGGTTTGTGCTGGAATTTTTCCTTCGATTGGGTCTACGGTCGGTGTTGAATACCTGAATCAGATTGCGTTTCTTTAAACGAAATTACGCATTTTAGGATCGACGTTCTAATCCACTGTGCTTTTGCTCTTCTTTTGCTTTTAGGGTCCTGCATTCTCTCCTCCGAGGATCCGAGAGGCTATCTGGTGCGGCAGCACCAACTCCACCACAGAAACAGGGAAGCAATTGGAGGATGTTCGAGTGTTGACAGATGTTGGTGATGTGCCCATCCAAGAGATGCGAGGGTGCGGCATAGGCGACGAGGTTCTTATGCGCACAATCACGGATTCGGTGAAGCTTGTGATGGACGAGCCACCGCTGCGGCCCCTCGTGTTGGGAGGAGATCATTCCATTTCGTTTCCAGTGGTGAGGGGTGTCTCTGAGTTTCTCGGTGGGCCAGTCGACATCCTCCACATAGATGCCCACCCTGACATTTACCATGCCTTTGAAGGCAAGCATTACTCCCATGCCTCCCCGTTCGCCCGCATCATGGAAGGCGGGCATGCGAGGCGGCTTATACAAGTGGGCTTACGCTCAATAACGCAGGAGCAACGCGACCAAGCTAAGAAGTTTGGAGTGGAGCAGCATGAAATGCGGAATTTCGACCAGCACCGGGAGAAGCTTCAAAATCTGCATCTCGGCGAGGGCGTGAAAGGGGTGTACATCTCAATTGATGTGGATTGTCTCGACCCAGCGTATGCCCCTGGAGTTTCCCACATAGAACCGGGTGGTCTCTCTTTCCGAGACGTGCTGAACATCGTGCAGACCGTGAAGGGTGACATTGTCGGCTGCGATGTTGTGGAGTTCAACCCACAACGGGACACTGTTGATGGGATGACTGCCATGGTCGCCGCCAAGCTTGTACGCGAGCTGTGTGCGAAAATGTCCAAGTGAGTCCACCTTCATAAATCGGCAAAACTTCATTCGCTGAATTCACATCTGGCTGAAGACTACTACTTGTATTGAGCTATGCTTATTTTTTCTTTTTTTCTTTTTTGAAAATTAGACTCTGCGTCTAAAATGGTTGGTTTGTAGAGTGAATCTCATATTTTGGCTATGACTTACATCCATCTTTCAGTGTGAATCATGCTGGAAAATCCATGGAGTCATGTAACTCCTGTAAAGTTCATGAAAGGTACCGTAATGTGCAGTTTATATTTGTGTTGGCTCAAGTCATCAATTAGAACTGCCTGGCGCGTTATGGTTTACAAGAATACAAAGTTTTCCTTCATTGCGCTCATGGAAGTTCGTATCCATGAACGCAAGTCATCATGTTTTAGCCATGATTAATAAAGCAGCTTATCTTACCAATCACTTAATGTTTCTAAATTGGCTTGTTTGTCATGTCTGCACTGCCGTTTGTGAAGGAAATTCATGCAATGTGAATGGTAGTGAATTGAGCAACAGGAGAGGAATCAATTCTCTGTTGCGAGGATGGCCCTCAAGCTTTGGACTAGAACTGCACATAATTTGGTAACGTGTTCGCAGATTTTGTATATTGTTTTGAGGGTGCAGAATTGTTCGAGACTACATGAAATTTATTGGTGAGATGGGAGGTTCATGATTTATGACATCTTTTGAAACTTTGCGTACATTTTCTTAGTGAGGGTATTGACAGTTACCAGCGGCTTTAAAGATGGTTAGGATGTGGAAGATGTGCACACGAATAGTGTGGGCTTCTTCAAGTGAGTTTTTAAGCTCCTTAAGAAAGTGGTGAACTGAAAAGCAATTTGGTTGCAGCTATTCTGCTTGCACATTGTGTTCCATAAAAACTTCCAATGCTATCGAGGAATTTGGATCGGGTAGGCGCCGCAGGGCCAGCTGGATTGATCGGCTATAAATCAATCCGGTAGCACCTGCATATGGTCACTCAATCACGTTTCAAGCTCGTGCACTGGAACTCAGCTCCAAACTTTGAAGTGCGAACCTTTCTAATACAATAAGTAGCATAGACCATTAAATTTGCAGGTCAATTAATCTAATAGTTATAAAGACTCAAAAAAAGTCTAAAAAAAATCTACACAACATTTAATATCCTTAGACTTCAATTCTTTACGTATATTTTAGTTTCAACAACCCTTAAGTCAAATAAGTGTATTATAACTTAACAACGTATTCATCTCACTTGAGATTTGATTGAACAGCCCCAAAACTTGGCTGGAAATAATAACCTAAAGGATTCAAAAAATTCAAAACAGCTTTGTTACTGAGTGGAGGAGGTGTCGATAAGGATTCATAGTAAGAAATGCCGACTGCCTCCGTGCTCATGTAATACAAATCTCTAGTTAGACGGACTGTTGAAGATGCATAGTTTGTGTTCTTCCACTGGGATACCTGTGAACTTTGGATACACAAACAAATCTATGGTTTCTCATGTCGGCAAAGCCTCTTGGTCCATGCGTATCCTTCACTCCCCAATTCAAGCTTATCGATACAGTGGGTGACAGAACCGCTAGCCTCTTGCTTGGAGACAAGGTAGATCACGCCGTTGCATTCCACAAGCTGGGCGATGGCGAAGTGAATTGTCACGGCAGGATCCTCGTAACAAAACCTGAAAAATGAACAATGCCAGTGTGCTCGCCACTCGTTTGTTCCCACGTCAAAAACCAGAGTCTCATTACTTTTGTGCACCATACATCCTGTGCACAGCAACAAATTTTGCGTCTCACAGTAGAGTCCAGTCTGGTATTCGTTTATGGAGAAATCCTTGTTGAAAACATTACGTAAGCACAGAGGTGGACACTCAAGTGTTTAAAAATCAGATTAAGTTAGTTGAGCGGATAATGATCACATTGTATTAGCTGAATGCCCAAAGTTGTTACGACCCACTGTTTTAAATGCACGAAGCTTTTTGAAAAAGGTGTATTCTCTATTTCTACATGACTAACGAAAACATGTCTCTCTTGTATTGAAACATTGTGTAATCCAGGTTGAAGCATTCAAGTTCTTTTTCTTTACTTTCAATAGGTTATGGGCCCACGTTCTTGTTGTCTCTCCTACAAGACACATTTGCATCCCGAGAAATTAGCTCAAGCAAATACATAACTCTTGTAACTATTTTTTTGAATTTCTATTGTTTACAAAGAAGAATGAGTTGATAAGAATGCAGCTAATCAATCTTTCTTCATCTTTGCTATAAACAAAAAAAACTCATTTACAAACTAATGAATTGTCACACATGTAACAAAATGTGATCTAACCAAATGTGATGTTTATGCACAATTCATGAGCAAAATGCTACAAAGAATGTAAAACTACTACAAAAACTACTACAATTCTTTGATATAAAAATTAAGCTAAACCTTGAAGTGGTCAATCATATCAGTTGTACAAAGCAACTTGTAAATCAATTGAATAATCTTGGCAAATCCATCTTGGACCAAGCAATTATTTGCAAAATTTTGAGTATCTTGCCGCAGAGATTTCGTCATCTACAAATGCATGGTATATGGATAGAGGAGCAACCAATCATATAAAAGATTAGTTCGATTGTTTTGCTTCATTCTGAAGTATACGTCATGGACATTGGTCCATTATGATTACAAACAATAAGCAACTTTGGATATGGAGAGTTGGCCAAATTAGAATCCATTGCAAACTTAACAACACCTTGGAAGTCACAATGTATTGAGTAAGTTGTCACATGATATGGCATTGGGTGCCAAATCTTGTCAAATGTATGTAGTTTAGTTTGATTAGTGTTTATTCATCCAGTGAGATTTTTTTGTTAGATAAATATGTAGGTGGAGAAAAACCTTGGACTTGATATTCTTGTCAAGTGAAATCTTAGGAGTTATTTTGAAATAGAACTTGTTGCAAGAGTTTGCTTGGCTTTGGTAATTTAGCCATTTTAGTAAACTGTCATTTTAGTAAACCTTTGGGATTTTCTCTTTCTTCACACTTGCACTTTTGAATTCCTCCTTCATGGAGTGTAGATTTATAATCTTTCACTTGACAAGGATCTTCTCTTCCCTTCAATTTGTGGTGTAGCAGATTGGAATGAAATAATTTTAAAAAAAATAAAAATAAAAATCATCTCTCTCCTTCACTGTTTTCTGGGTTGGTGTTGTACAATCGCACTGGTCTTGTATACTGCACCACTACGGTACTGCCATGCTGCTGGCTATTGTCTCGATACGTCACTGGTTGCCAATACTAGATACGTTTCGTATAGAAGCGGGATACGGTCGTGGCGTACTGAAACGGTGCGAAACATGGAGGGTTGCGGCAGGAGGTTAATCAGTGACGCAGACTGGTTATTGGGCACTAGCTCGACTTTCAAGGCGGCGTTGGAGGGTTGAAGTAGGGTCACGATACAGGAGAGCTAGAGGTCGGTGCGGGAGCTCTCGTGACGGGGTGCGATCAGGGAGTCTCGCATAGGGTTGCGGCGCCGAGATACGGAGCAGGTTGCAGAACAGTAAGGCATTGGGACAAAGCTTGTGACGCACGGGAGATACGGTGCGGCAACGGGTTAGTGCAGTATCGGGATCTGGATTGCAGACGTTCGCAGCGCAGGAGTATTGCGGTGTTGTTGCATTATTTTTATTTTGTTTTGGTATTTCAGCGCTGGGAGCGGCATCGGGGTCTGGTGCGACTTGGGATTACTATTGCGGGAACCAGACTTGGTTGAGTGAGTTTTTGTGTCACGTTTTGGTGCGGTGCTACTATTGTGTGCCAAAATTTGGTAATGGCATGTGCACAAATTGAGTTCTGTGAACCTTGCATTGTGCAAACAGCCGTGCAAACATCGCGAAAATTGCATCACGCAGCCTTAAGGTCTGTGCGGTGAAGGGTTCTATTATTGTAATAAATCCCAACGGTCACAGATCCACGGCAATAGAGTAAATCGCGGTGATAGGGATATTTGAGATGATACTTTTCCACGGTCATGGGGTAATATATGTATATATTTACATATCCAGAACTCTTAAGTATTAAGTTTGAAAGTTCACTCCAAGAAAATATGGAGTCCACACTGGATCATTTTTGAGCCAATTTTATATGGAAGGGGTTCAAGGAATCCATTGGCATTGGTTTTTAGAGTAGAGATCATTTGGAGCATTGAAGTCGTATTTACTAAATGCCAATTGCTTTCTAAGTAGGGTTTTGATTTTCTTTTACTTCTCCAGATTTCATTTTCTTGCAATTGTTGTTTATTGTTATAGTTTTTTGCAATTTGTGACCATCAACCATAGGTAGTGCTAGTTGCTTTTGTTCACTTTTGATTTCTACTTTTGTGTTGTTGGAGATGAAGATCCAATGTAGATTTTTGGATTTTATTTTTGATACCTTCTCCTAGTTGCAAGTATTGTTATTTTGTATTTTCTTCTTCTATTTCATTTTTTCTATAACTCTCACTATCAACAAAATAATCAAAGCTTTCTTTATAACAATGTATCTTCATAGTTTTTAATCCTCCATGTTTACTACTATAATATATTCTACAAAATTCTAATATGAAATTCAAGGAATAATTATGTAAATAATGAAAAAATAGCAATTTGATGTTTATACAAATTGCTTTATATAACATGCTCATGAGAATAATATATGTAATGTATTATACCTTTATTGATTTTGAAATTAAAATATAGAATAGATAAAATTCAATTGAGCAATTGTTATATTATTATAATAATATCTTTAAGAACATAAAAAGAATGTTCTTATTGCCATTAGAATTTTTGCTACTTCTACTATAGCTTATCATTTGTCACATGCTACAACAATTTTAGCAAATGCTACCATAAGCTATTTTAAATTTAAGTTGTATATTACAATGCATTTTTTTCCAACTATTGGCATTATTATTAAAGGTAATTGTATTAATATGTAACTTCTAATTATTCCTATTAGTTGCTTGTCAAGGGCATAAATCATAAAACTATCAAAGAATCAATATATTTTTGTATCACTAAAAAAAAAATTATTTCTTCAAAGATAGTTATAATATTAAAATTAGAATAACTATTTTTAAAGATATAAAGACTATAGACTTTTGAAACAAGGCTAAGAACAAAAAAGGCATAGAGAAGAGTGAAGATGGCCTTACTCTTCCATCCATATATATTATGTAATTAAGAGCTACATGACAATATTTTATACGACTTCCAATACATATCCAATTTGTAAGATTTGTATCTAATTTGCAAGGTAAGTTTCCTATATGTACATCACATGGTCAATTTATACCACAAGTGGCCAATATATGCAATACATAGCTAATTTTTTGGTTGAAAATTCAACCTATTATATATCATATTAATAGGTCTTAATTACTGGAACAATTTAAAGTATAATTTTAAGATATCAAA